GCCTCCCAAGTAGCTGGGACTAGAGGTGCCCACTACAACGCCAGGCTATTTATTTTTTGTTGTAGTTGTTGCAGCTGTCATTGTTGTTTGGCAGACCCAGGCTGGGTTCGAACCCACCAGCCCCAGTGTATGTGCCTGGCGCCTTAGCTGCTGAGCTACAGGCGCCAAGCGCATAAAATGTGTTCTCATTAAATGTACATGTAATTTTGTCTAATCCAGAAGATATTGGTTGATTCAAAATACAGGTTTGAAAAGAGAGTGACAATAAGATGGAAATTGACTAGTGAATAAGGGAGATGTGGAAAGGCAGTGAATATATGTAGAAATATGTTTTGGGGGCTCAGTGCCCGTGGCTCGGTGAGTAGGGCTCCAGCCACAGACACTGAGGCTGGCAGGTTCGAGCCTGGCCTGGGCCTGGTAAACAACAATGACAACCGCCACAAAAAAAGTAACTGGGTGTTGTGGTGGGTGCCTGTATGTAGTCCCAGCTACTTGGGAGGCTGAGGCAAGAGAATGGCTTCAACCTAGGAGTTTGAGGTTGCTGTGAGCTGTAATGCCATGGCACTCTACCAAGGGTGACATAGTAAGACTCTGTCTCAAAAAAATAAAATAAAATAAAATAAAAATAAATAAAGATTGTTTTCCTTTCTTTTTTTTCCTTTTTTTTTTGACAGAATCTCACTTTGTTGCCAGGCTAGAGTGCTGTGGCATTAGCCTAGCTGACAACAATCTCAAGTTACTTTGGGATGTTGAGAAAACAGGAACTTACCCAATGCATATAGGTATCTGATGGCACAGATGATATCTTGGGCTTGACTTGAGAGGTTTTCAAGACTAACCTGATATTCCTTATGAAAATTCCAGCAAAGCCAATTTTATTTATTTGTTTTTTTAGAGACAGAGTCTCATTTTGTTGCCCTCTGTAGAGGTGGTGGTGTCACAGCTCACAGCAACCTCCAGCTCTTGGACTTAGGTGATTCTTTTGCCTCAGCCTCCCGAGTAGCTGGGACTACAAGCATCCACCACAATGCCCAGCTATTTTATTGTTGCCGTTTGGCTGACGCCAGGTTTAAACCCACCACACTAGGTATATGGAACCGGCGCCCTACTCACTGAGCCACAGGGGCCACCCAGGAAAACCAATTTTAAATGGAAAAAAAAAAAGCCTTTAAGAATAATAATTATTCTTACTGCACTTTATGCAAATAATCAGGTCAAACAGAATGAAAGTAAAGTTTATTTTGGCCAGTAAACTGACCATACTATGATTTGTCTTTAATAAAATGGGAAACTAGGCTTGGCACCTGTAGCACAGTGGTTACAGCACCAGTCACATACACCGGAGGTGTCAGGTTTAAACCCAGCCTGGGCCAGCTGAACAACTGCAACAAAAAAATAGCCAGGTGTTGTGGTGGGTGCCTGTAGTCCCAGCTACTTGGGAGGCTGAGGCAAGAGAATAGCTTAAGCCCAAGAGTTTGATGTTGCTGTGAGCTGTGACACCACAGTACTCTACTAAGGGTGACATAGTGAGACTCTGTCTCAAAAAAAAAAAAAGGGAAAATAGGGCCAGGTGCAGTGGCTCGTGCCTGTAATCCCACCACTTTGGGAGGCCAAGGTGGGCTGATTGCCTAAGTTCAGGAGTTTGAGACCAGCCTGAACTATAGAAAGACCCCATTTCTAAAAATAGCCAGGCATTGTGGTAGGTACCTGTAGTTCCAGTTACTTGGGAGACTGAGGCCAGAGAATCACTTGAGCCCAAGAGTTAGAGATTGCTGCGAGCTGTGACGCCAGAGCACTCCACCAGGGTTGATGAAGTGAGACTCTGTCTCGAAAACAAAAACAAAAACAAACAACAACAACAACAACAAAAAGGAAAGTAGAGAGAGAAAAATATGGTTCAAAAATGAAAAACTGAGATCAGGGTGCTGTAGTCCCAGCATTCCAGGGGGCCGAAGTGGGTGGATTGTTTGAGCTCATGAGTTCAAGACCAGCCTGAGCCAAAGAGAGACCTCATCTCTAAAAGTAGCCCAGCATTGTGACAGGCACCTGTAGTCCCAGCTACTTGGGAGGCTGGGGCAAGAGAATCACTTAAGCCCAAGAGTTTGAGGTTGCTGGGTTGCTGTGAGCTGTGACACTACAGCACTCTACCAAGGGTGACAAAATGAGACTGTGTCAAAGAAAAAGAAATAAAAGAAAAACTATGGTTCACCTGTATTAGATTCTAGTCTTTTCTGCAATGCCAGCTAATGAAATAAGACATAGCTATTTATTTATTTATTTAGACAGAGTCTCAAGCTGTTGCCCTAGGTAGAGTGCCATGGCATCATAGCTCATAGTAACCTCCAACTCTTGAGCTCAAGCGATCCTTTTGCTTCAGTTTTTTCTATTTTTAGTGGAGACAGGGTCTCACTCTTGCTCAGGCTGGTCTCGAACTTGTGAACTCAAGCAATCCACCCGCCTCAGCCTCCCACAGTGCTAGGATTATAGGCGTGAGCCACTGTGCCTGGCCAACATAGCTATTTAATTAAACTGATCTGTTCACGGGACTAAGAGACTGGTCCCCAAATATAAAATAATATATTCAGATTTGCTCCGGTATGGGAGCCATTTCCTGCTTCTTAGTCCTAAGGTAACATCTTAGGTTTTAATATGTAAAGTTTTTTTATTTCAAAGGGGAGACTGAAAAAATTAGAAGGAATATTCACCCCCACATGCACTCTTTTGACATATTTTGGGATGACTGCCACAGAAATAACAGGGCAAAGCTTACTGGAAATGCTAGTCCCTATCTACAGAGTATATTACCAAAGGAGACGTGATTAGAAATACGTCTGCAACCCCAAGACTGGTTGCAGAAGAAACTGCAAAAGCCTTAGGGATCAATAAAGATCACCCAACTTGCTAGCCCAGGTACTCCTAGATAATCAGGCAGTGTTAGATTTCCTGTTTTAAGAAGAGGGGTCTGCATAGTATCACATGCTACTTGCTGTACTTCAGAAGTTAAAACCCGAATAAAGCACCACGGCTGGTGGGTTCAAACCCAGCCCAGATGTGCTAAACAACAATGACAACAACAACAACAAAGCCAGGTGTCGTCATGGGCACCTGTAGTCCCAGCTACTTGGGAGGCTGAGGCAAAAGAATCACTTAAGCCCAAGAGTTTGAGGTTGCTGTGAGCTGTGGTGCCACAGCACTCTACCCAGGGTGACAACAAACAAACAAACAAATAGAAAAAATTCTCAACAATCTGTGTGGCTACCAGTAGGTTTTACCAGCTCACACCCAACTAATTTTCAAGAATATTCATTTGGGTTGCCCAGAACTTGATATCAGGTCTACAGAGGCTCTTAAAGCTGGGTATTATCTATCCTGTAGTCCACTGCCCAGTGAATACTATGCTAAGATTGTAAACAAGAATACTGATGTTCTCATCAGGCAAACCTTAGACTTGAAACCCAACACTCGTGGATATTTGCAGGTCACTGCCAAATGGTTTCATTCTCTCTCTCTTTTTTTTAGACAGAGTCTCATTATGTTACCCTCAGTAGAGTGCTATGGTGTCACAACTCACAGCAACCTCCAACTCTTAGACTTAAGTGATTCTCTTGCCTTAGCCTCTCAAGTAGCTGGGACTATAGACGCCTGCCACAAATCCTGGCTATTTTTTGGTTGTAGCTGTCATTGCTGTTTGGCAGGCCTGGGCTGGGTTCAAACCCACCAGCTGCAGTGTGTATGGCTGGCACCCTAGCCACTGAGCTACAGGTGCTGAGCCTGGTTTCATTCTCTTTTACCCTGGGCACAACCCTGACTGCACCCCATCAGCCTGAAGAAGTCAGAGCGGTTGTCAGCCCTTTCCCTTCTTATTTGCCCACACCTCAGGATTGAGGTGGGTAAAAGACCATGGGGGAATTAAAACTGCCCTTACAAATTGATGAAATGATGCAAGGGCCCCCAAACTCTGCTAAAATAATAATAATCAGCCACTGTCCCCTTGTTAACTTGGTAATAGTCACTATCCTGTTTACTTCCAGCTAGTGGTTACATCAGTGGTTCTCAACCTGTGGGTCATGACCCACAGGAACTGTATTAAAGGGTCATGGCATTAGGAAGGTTGAGAACCACTGGATTACATGTATAAAGGTTCTTAACTTTTTCCATATAGTTGGTAGTTGTAAAGATTCTTCACTTTTTTTCCATAGATAACACTGCTGTTTGGAACCCTAAAGGTAGTTTCTAAGATATGTTCCAGGTCCTGCCAGTGGATTGGCTAACCCACACAGACCAGTGGCCCATACCAAGAAACCAACTGAACTGGAATCATTTACCTAGGAGCTGAAGAAAAAAAGATGATTTATAGACACCTATAATTTTGCCCCAAACTTAGCCAATTAGCAAACCTACTTACCTAACCCTCTGCCTGTCAAACTATCCTTAAAAACCCCATCTCCCCAATCCTCAGAGAGGAGAATTTGAGAAATTTCTTGTATCTCCCTGCTTAGTGCTATATGGAATAAACTCTTTTTCTGCTGTAAACCTGCTGTCTGTGGATACTGGCTTTCTCTTTGGCAGTGGGCAGATGAACGTGGCTGGGCAGCAACATTCATTCATCCAGAAACCCTGATAAAAATGTTCCTGCTTCCTGCTCCTTGGACCAGGAGGCCTTTGGCTTCTGCATCTTCCATTCTGTAAGCTCCTACATCTAATAAATTCCCTTTTTGTTTAAGTTCATTAGAGTCAGTTTTTATTGCTTACAACATAAACCCCTAATTGATCCAAACACCTACCTTGCAATTTTGTTGTAAGGACTAAATGATAGGATGTGTGTAAAGCGCCTAACCCAGTCCTGGCAGCATAGCAAGCAGGCAGTAAGTGGCGATAGCTGTCTGTATAAGTTAACGCTCAGGGACCGGCCGAGGGGAAGGGAAATTGTTACTGGTTTGCTTTCCATTGAGAACTCCCCCCAGACAGAAGGACAACAGAAGGGAGGGAAGTGCCAGCTATGATATGCTCATTTATTCAAAATGTCTTTATTGAAACAGAATGATAAAGCAAGAAAGAATGCGGTCTGGGAGGATGTCTTTGGGCACAGGATGGAGCCCAGACCCAGTGGTTACAGTGTGGAGCTCTCTCCCTGTCCCCTGACTCTTGCAGAGGAAGTGAACACAAAGCAGCTGGGAGGAGATGGGGATGGGGACAGCCCTCTGAGCTCTCCTGGGCTGGCGTGAGGTGCCTCTGAGCCTTTTGGGCAGCCCTGCCTTCCTCACTCAGCCTTCCCAATCTCCTTGCCAGGGCCCTAGCCAGCTTTCTGAATGGGCTAGCCTCCCGCCAGGGTGCTCAGAGGCTGCTCAGAGGGCAGGGTTGGGAGTGGCAAGCAGCGGGACGTGGTCACAGCGGTTAGGGGGTGGCTGCCGCAGCAGGGAAGGCCGGCGACACAGCTCCCCATCCCGGAGCACCTCCGGCAGGAGCTTGCGCTTGGTCTCTGGCAGAAGCATAATGCTAAGGATGCAGAGGAGGGCACAGGCTGCCAGTACCACGTGCTGCAGGAAGGCTCCATGGCCCATGTGGAGGCGCTGGGCTGGGCCACTCAGCCCTCCAAGAGCCCCCAGTGCCATAATTAGGCCCAGGCCACGGCCCCTGGGAAAGATGGAAGAGGCAATCAGCTCACAGCTGAGGCCTCACATAGCCCTTCTCCAGCAGCCCTCCCTCCTTCAGCCCTTAAGCCCTGTCCTCAGTGGGAGGCAAGAGGCCGAGGCCTGGCCCTGCCTGCTGCTCTCACCGGACAGTGGTAGGGATAACTTCGGCAGCAAGGAGTGTGCTGAGGATGGCAGCAGCCTGGGAGGAGAAGAGCCCAAGGACAGAGAAAGTAGTGATGGCGGCTTCATTCAGATCTGGAAGACCAACAGGGATGATATGGGTGGAGGTGGGGAGATCATGCCTGGCCTGTCCCCAGTGTCATCTCCTTGGCTCTGATCTCATGGGTCTAGCTGGGTGGGCTCTGGGCATTCACTAACTGACTGGGAGAACAGACAGGGTACATGGCCAGGAAGAGGGTTGTGGAAGATCTGGCCAGGGTCTGGGTCTTGTCTTGGGAGGCCTATGCCAAAAATAATGGCTGAGCCTGTCTGAGGCACCTCTGCTGGAGTTCCCTTGTTGAGCCCACACTGTGGGGGAGGGAGGATGCTCACAATCCCACAGGCCCAGCAAGACCAGGGATGCAATGCCAGTGAGGGTCATTGAGAGAAGAAGGATGCCCCGGCGGCCAAATCGGTCCACAGTGACACCCAGGAAGACGCAGGCCAGGGCTGCGGTGCCGCTGGCCAGCAGGGAGCACAGGTAGAAGTCCGATGGGCTGCCTCCTCCTCCCACGGGCTGGTAGCAGTGGCGGATGGCGTGGGCGATGAAGCTGTGAGAAGGGGTAGGGAAGCAAAGAGCAACATCTGAATCCCCATCTGCAGCCTTCCACAACCCTGGTTGTCTTTTGCAGGGGTCCTTGGACCTTGCCCACCCAGCCATCCCCCATCCCAGCCACTGGCCTGGCCCTCAGCTCAGACACCCAGGCTCACTTGGTGAAGCCCAGGATAAGCAGATTTTTCCAGATGTTGCGGTAGTTGAGGAGGGAAGTGAAGGAAAAGGAGGATGTTGCAGGGAGAGGGCAGGTGTTCTCCAGGTCTTTAGGAGAGAGAGAGGGGAGCTGTCTGTTAGAAGGAACAACTGGGAATCCAGGAGCCTCCCACGGGGTGGTGGGGTCCCTGAGAACAAGGCACAGCTACAACCATGCAGAGGGTACCAGTGCATGTGTATGTGAGGCGTCGCTCACAGGGACCTTGTCTCTCACCCTGCAGGGCTTCCTGGGCCTCTTCCCCCAGCATCTGCCCGTGGGGGCGGTTCCGCTCAGCCAAGATCCTCAGCACAGACTGAGCCTCCTCAATTTGGCGCTTCACAATCAGCCACCGGGCAGACTCCAGAAACAGACCAGGCCAGCTGGGGGCAGGGTGGTGGGGGGACATTGTGAAGCCTCCCCTCTCCTGATCTAGGATGGGAAACTCCCACCTCTGAAGGACTGGGGCTGGGGCAGACTCAGGGATAGTTGGAGAGAGGAGGGTCTCTGGGCTAGAACTAGGTTGGAGGTAGAGATGGGAATTGTTAAATGATAGGTAAAGGGCAATACTGACCCATAAAACAGGAAGAGGATGCAGGGAGCGGTGATCATTCGCTGCAGAAATCGCCAGTCCTTAGAGACAAGGGCCAGGCCCAGGAACAGGAAGTGCCCCCCCACCCCCACCAACTCCCCTGCCAGGGCCACCCGAAGCCTCTGAGTTGGGTCGCATAGCTCCAGGCCTGGAGATACAGCAGGGATGGAGGTAGGAGAGAAAGGCCAGGGAGGAAGAAGGCATGAGAGAGAAAAGAGAGGGAGGAGAAGGAGAGAGAGAAGGTCAGACCCTGAATGGAAGCTGCAGCCACTGCCTACCACAGACTAACCTCTGGGTGGCAAGGAGCAGAGAGATTGTTCAGTCCTCTCTTCTCTCCTGCTCAAACCTAGGAGGGCTCTAGGGTCAGAGTCTCTGGTGGGTGTTCAGCATTCACAGTTTATAGGCCTCTTATTTTGACCTTCATGTCAACCTTTGTCCAAGGTCACATAGCTAGTCAGGATTTCATCTTCTAAATCAGTTGCTATTTCCTGACAGCAGTAAATCCAGGGCAAGAAAGACTTTAAAGATTTAGAGATTGTGTGTATGTTGGGGGGACAGGTGTGGAGAGAAGCAGAACCCCTTGATCTTCAAAAGCCTAAGCAGAAGGACAGCAGAGATTCTAGGCAGGTGAAATTTGGGGCTGAAGAAGGGACTAAGGGGAGTCTAGAGGGCAGTGGGAATATTCTGGTGATGCAGACAGGAAGGTATGAGAACCAGGGGAGGGACTACAGAGAGGGGGCCACTTACGCATCAGGTAGACACCCAGGTCAACGCCTGCCAGAAGAAAGCCCAGGAGGAATCGGAGGGCCATGACACCTGTGGAGGAGCCTGCAGCAGCCCCTCCCACTCCACAGGGGCCCACCAGCCCCAAGGTCAGCAGCACAATCCCACGACGGCCAAACCTGGAAAGTGGGCAGGGTTTCTGGTCACCCAGACTCCCTGGAGGAGTTGCTGAGTGGGATCCAGAGGCTAGAGAAGATGAGAAGGATGGGGATTGTAGGTAGATGAGTCTGGCTAGTGGATACTAGTATACAGCTATGGTACTATCTGGGGTGGCACCCTTGACTCTTAAGGATAGGGCTGTTGGTCAGAGATTAGGGCACTTGTCCATAGATGTGAGATCACCCATCAGAGTGGATGGGATTTGGGACTGTTGATCCCTAGGAACTGAGCTACTGGCTAGTGTGGATGGAGCTTGTCTTGATCAGACTGGTCAGAGGAGATGGCAGTACTGATATAGGGGGTTAGAGCTATCAATCTCTAGGTAAAGCCACGGGCCTCTTGTGCATGGGGATAGTACTGGTCAGTGAAGATGTAGCTGTTGATACTAGGGGACTGAAGAGTTGGTTTTGGGGATGACACCATTGTTCCATGGAATTGGGACATAGGACTATTGATGGTCAGTAGGGATGGATACTAGTGGAATACTGGTGGGAGATGGAGCTCCTAATTCATGAGAATGGGTCTCTTAATCCCTGGGTTAGGTCTATTGATCAGTGGGGATGAACCTATTAATCCCTGAGGATAATAAGGATGGGGTCACAGAACAGGCAAGATGAGACTATTGGTCAGTGAAGATGGTCAGTAACTATAAGTTACTGAGGACAGGGCTATTGATCCTTGGCTATTGATTGCTGGGGATAAGACCACTGATTTGTGGAGATGAACAGTGAAGGCCCTTGGTCACTTGAAAGGGAGTGAGGCTATTGACCCCATGGGGCAGGGCATTATTTCATGAAGACAGGCCTCTTTTTTTTTTTTTTTTTTGAGGCAGAGCCTCAAGCTGTAGCCCTGGGTAGAGTGCTGCGGCATCACAGCTCACAACAACCTCAAACTCTTGGGCTTAAGCAATTCTCTTTCCTCAGCCTCCTAAGTAGCTGGGACAGGCCTCCTGATTAATGTGGTAAACGCTACTGGTATTAGGAGACTGAATTATTGATCTTTGGGGATTAGGCTGTTGTTTCATTGGAATGAGGCTACTGGTCTGTGGAAGTGAGGCCATTGGTTCATGGAGATGGGCTATTAACCTGTGGGTTTAGTTAGGATCACTGGCCCACAGAGGTGTGTGACTGCTGGGCAGTGAGGATGGGTAGTGATTTTAAGAAACTGGACTACTGAATTTGGGGATGCCTTTGATCCATGGAAAGTGATCCTGCTAATCTATTTGGAGGGACTGTAGATCAGTGGGGATGAGTCTAATAATCTGTGGGGATGGTCAGTGTAGATGAAGCATCTGGTTGGTGGTGATGGTGTTCAGAATCAGAGATGGGATTCTTGATCTGGAGGAAGATTTCTGATCTGCTGGGTACTCAGCTGGGGTATGAAGAGAGGATGGCATAGCCCCCTTGTGTACCAGCCCTTACACTGTTGGTGGGGCTAGACTATGGATCTTTGAAGATGAGGCCATTGGTTCATGAAAGTGGGGATTTTGGTCTGAGAGGACTGGAGAGCCCTGAAGATCCATGAGATGGGACTATTAATCTATCTACGGGCTATTGACTCATGAGGATAGAGTCATTTGGAGGCAGGCATGGGACTATGGTTACTGGGGACTAAGGCAATGTTCTTTGGAGATAGTTACTGACTCATGGGGAAGAGGCTACTTGTCCAAGAAAGTGCTTTATTTGCTTGTAAAATTGAACTACTGGTCAGTGGAAATAGATGTGTTCATATTTAGGGATGCCATATCCATCATTAGGAATGAGGCCACTGAAGTGGAGCTAACAGCTTGTGTGGACTATTAGTGGAACTGAGTCCATTAGTCCATAAAGATGGTGAGGGAGATTGTTAGGGTGATAAGGGCAACAGAGGGAGAGAAAGGACTTTTGCTCTGTGAAGACAGGGTTTTGCTCTGTGGGGATGAGACATAAGACTATTATTTTGGAGACGAGGCCATTGATTCATGGCTGACCGATGAGTGGGAATGGGGCTAGTAGTCCATGGAGATGGAGTCCTTCCCCTGTGTGGAAGAGGTGTGGAAAGAATAGTATTTCTTGATGGGGAGTGAAGTTGAGACAGGGGTAGGTCATTTAATTGGAGTTCAGAGAAGACTGTAGAGTCCAGCGAATCATCTTCAACCTCTTGCAAACACCAGCTGCTTGGGCTGGCTTGCCTAGCACCCCCTCCTTCCTACCAGCCCTGCCCCCACGACAGCCCTCACCTGTCTGCAGGGTAACCCATGAACAGGTAGCCGGAGGCAAAGCCCAAGATGAAGAGGATCTGCTCCAGGATCACCTGCCAGCCCAGGTCACACACCAGATCCCACTGGGGATGTGAGAAGGGTGCAGTAGGCGTGAGGCCCCGCCCTCGCTGCCCTCAGCCGGCTCCCAGACCCACCGCCCTCCTGGCCGCCTCACCTGGCCGATGGCGTTGGTGGTGAGCACCGGCAGGCCATTATAGTCCCAGTCCTTGAGGCAATGGTTGAAGTCCGGCGGGGCGAAACCACTGCACGAGGGGTCCGTACTGGTGGCGACGCGGCTAGCGGCGCTGGCTGCTAGGGCCGCGCTGGCGACACTGACGCCGCTGGCATTGGAGGGCTGTTCCCAGCCAGAGGCGTTGGGAGGGAAGCCCCCGTAGTGGCAATGCAGTGGGGGCGCCAGAGTGAAGATGGGGTCCGAGGCCAAACCCAGAGCCACGAAGAGCACCGGGAGGCAGCAGAGGCCGAGCTGCAGCTGCTGGCCGCCGCCCAGCGCCCCCACCTGGGCAAGCAGCGCCTCAAAGCTGAGGGGGCCTGGGGGCACGGCCAGCGACAGGCTGCTGCCCAGTCCGTCGCCGCCCGCGTCGCCCTCCCCCTCCCGCTCGCGCTCCCGCTCACCCTGCAGCTGCTCCGTGGGCACCGCATCTCCAAGAGTCCCAACCTGCTGGGTGGCGGGGGGAGGAGAGGGTGAAGCGGAGAAAACCGCAGAGCAGGGGAGGGGGCGGCGGGAGCGAGGGCTAGGAAAGCAGTCAGGGGCGGGAGGATGCGCAGGAGGAAATGCCAAGTATTCGGAGTGGGTACAAGGAGAGGATGGCGTAGCCCCCTGGGGCGCCGGCACTTACTCCGTTGGTGCTGGGGGTGATCTCTACAGTGCTGTCGATTTTGCTGCCGCCCCCGCCATTGGGCTCGGGGGTCCCGGTGGCCACCCGGGGAGCCAGCTTGCTGACCGCAGGGGCCCTGCCGGCCCACGCCGAAAGGATGCGCTGTTCTAGGGCCCAGTTGAGTGTCGGGTGCCCGGACACAGAGAGCCCGAAGAGACCCTGCTTTACAGCTCTGCAGCCGCGGGCGCCTCCTTGGTGTCTGCGATCTCTGCGCTGTTTTCCCCTCCCCTTCCTCCAGACTCTCCTCCCCTTCCCACGTCAGCAGAGCCTTCGGTCCAGACTCTTCGTCGGGGAGGGAGGGTAGGGCCCAGGGGAGGGAGAGGATGGGGGCTCTGTTGTCTGTTCCCTGGGTCTGCAGGCCATTGCGGTAAAAAGGAAAAAAAGCTGAAGGTTAGTAGCTAGCCCAGGCACATGCCAGACAGTGATTCTTCTTTTGTTTACAATCTTTCGCCATCACTTATTCACTCACCTATCCATTCATTAATTAATCAGTAAAATTTGTTAAGTATCTGCTGTGTTCCAGGCTTCCCGCCAGGCTTTGAGGATAACAGGGTGGACAAGACCCACCCTTAAATGCAGTTACTGGGGGAAACACACATGTGAACTGGTAATGACGCAGTCTATGCTTATGGAAGGTTAGGTTGGCACTGTACTCAGCTCTAGCTTCAGTCCTCTGCAAGGAGACCACTTGCAACCTCTGCAAGGTTTCACCACCTTCGTTCTGACTGAATCCCCATTTTTTGATAGCATTGGGCACTATTGACCATCACTTACTTTAAAACACTTGTTCCTTGCTTGTTAAGTACCATACTCCCCAGGTTGTGTCTCTCCTGCTTCCCCTTTCCCATTTCAGGTTCTCCTCTTCTGGCCCATGGTGTTGGTGGTGAGCATGGGCAAGCTGTTAGAGTCCAGTCTTTGAGGCAATGGTTGGCATCCAGTGGGGTTAAGCTGCTGCATTTAGGGGTCCATACTAGTGGTGAAGCCGCTGGCACTGCTGATTACTAGGGCCATTCCTGTCTGCATCATTCTGTTTGCAATTCTCAGAGGCTGGGTCTTAGGCCCTCCTCTCATCTCACACTCTTGTCTCCTCCTTAGGCCCTCACCTGTGTCAACAGCTTCAATCACCACCAATGCCAACCTGATTCCCAGGTTGATATCTCCAGCTCCCATTTCTCTTTTGGGAGCAAACAAAAACACCAAAAGCTACCTTTTATTTAACCTTTGACCTCTTACTTGGTTGGCTCACAGGGACCTCAGTTAGCTCAAGACCAAACTCATACTGTTTCCTCTATAACCTGGTGGTCTTCTGGTGCTTTTTTCTTTGATGAATGGCATCCTTATCATCCAACTGTGGTCAGGTGCTCCAGTGACAGCCCTTAGAGTGCCCTATTCCTTACCATAAATTAAATTCTTTTTTTTTTTTTTGCAGTTTTTGGCCGGGGCTGGGTTTGAACCCACCACCTCTGGGACATGGGACTGGTGCCCTACTCCTTTGAGCCACAGGCGCTGCCAATAAATTAAATCCTTTACAAAATTTAGTCCATTTCATTTCCTCTATATTCTCAAATATCCCACTTCTTTCCATCTCTACCACTATTAGGGGTACTGTTGCACAAACTATATCAGCCCCCCAGCTCCTAACTGGTAATCTGTATCTACTTTGTTTCTACTCCCCATTTGTTATTTATAGTGCAGATAGAATGATCCTTATCTTTTTTTTTTTTTTTTGAGACAGAATTTTACTCTGTCACCCTCGGTAGAGTGCCATGGCATCATAACTCATAGCAGCCTCAAACTCTTGGGCTCAAGTGATTCTCTTGCCTCAGCCTCCAAGTAGCTGGGACTACAGGTGCCTGCCACAATGCCTGGCTATTTTTTGGTTGCAGTTGTCATTGTTTAGCAGGCCTGGGCCGGGCTTGAACTCACCAGCTTCAGTGTATGTGGCCAGCGCCCTACTCACTGAGCTGCCGGCGCGGAGCCGCCTGGCCATTTTTAGAGACAAGGTTTCACTCTGGCTCAGGCTGGTCTTGAACCTGTGAGTTCAGGCATTCTACCTGGCTAGGCCTGCCAAGTGCTAGGATTATAGGTGTGAACTACTGTGGCCAGCCTCATCTTTCTTCCTTTTTTAAAAATAACATCATAGGCTAGAGTGCTGTAGTGTTATAGCTCACAGCAACCTCAAATTCCTGGGCTGAAATAATCCTCCTCCCTCAGTCTCCCAAGTAGCTGGGACTACAGATACCAGCCACAATGTCTGGGTAAAGTTTTTTATTCTTTGTAGAGACAGAGTCTTCTTTTGCTCGGGCTAGTTGGAATGATCTTTTTAAAAAGCAGATCTGATTATGTCCCTCTTCTGTTTAACAGCTTGCAATAGTTTCTTCTAAATGTCTAGGTGAATATTAATCCAGATACCTCATGCATGGTTCTGCATGCCTGGTCACATGTTCTCTACAGCTCCATCTCACTTTGCTCCTCAAATTCTCTGCACTCCAGCAACACTAGGCACCCTTCAGTTTTTCTGATACCACAGGGCCCACACAACTGGTCCCTATGTTTAGAAGTCTTTTTTTTTTTTGAGACAGAGTCTCACTTTGTTGCACTCAGCAGAGTGCCATGGCATCATAGCTCACACTAACCTCCAATTCTTGGACTCAAATGAACCAGCCTCCCGAGTAGCTGGGACTACAGGCACCCACCACAATGGCCCAGCTAGTTTTAGAGATGGGGTCTCTTGCTCAGGCTGGTCCCAAAGCTCAAGCAATCCACCCACGTTGGCCTCCCAGAGTGATAGGATTACAGGCAGGAGCCACTGCTTTGGGCCTAGAAGTCTTGTTAATTAAGTTTTCTTCTTCCTTGTGGCTCTTGGCTCAAGCGCCTTTGCCTCAGAGACTTCCTTGACCCCTAGAATTGCTACTTAATGTGTGATTCATGAACCAGCAGCATTCATATCACCTGGGAACTTGTTGGAAATGCAGAATCTAAGCCTTTCCCTAGATCTTCATTTTAACTAGATCCCCAGATGTGTATACATTAAAGTTAGACCTTTTCCTAAGATATTTGATCCCTGATAGGTACTTTATTCTCTAATCCCAGGTAAGGGCTGGAATAGAGTGTTCTGTCAGTCTTGGCAAGGAAATTATTCCTCCTTCTTTCCACTGAACCAAACCTTTAACTTGTCTCCTCTGTTCGAGAAGTTTCCAAATATGGAAAACACTTCTTTTCTTTTTAGAGACAGAGTCTCACTTAGTTGCCCTTGGTCAAGTGCTGTGCTGTCACAGCTCACAGCAATCTCCAGCTCTTGGGCTTAGGTGATTCTCTTGCCTCTGGAGCAGCTGAGACTACAGGCACCTGCCACAACATCCGGCTATTATTTTTTTTTGTTGTTGTTGTAGTTTGGCCAGGGCTGGGCTTGAACCTGCCACCCTTGGTATGTGGGGCCAGCGCCTTACTCAATGGGCCACATACACCGCCCGAAAATGCTTCTTTTCTAAATGGATCAAGCAAGCCTCCTACCACTTCTCTTCCCCCAACTAATTTCAGCATTTCTTTGGGATTTACTATGGCGATATAGTCAATTTTCCTTGGAGATTAATTTGTCTGCACCCTTTTAATACGTCCAGGAACAATAATCTCTTAATTTTAGGTAGTGCTGAGCTGTTCACATGCATTATCTTGTTAGGTCCTCACAACAACCCTGTAAGACCATTAGATCATTCTCAGAGGGAATGGCATAATTTGCCCACGAACAAGTACATAGCAGACCTGAGACATGAACTGAAACTGACGCTAACTTTAGGCTAACTGCTTGAAGTTCTGTATGGAAGATGATGAGGGATGGCCTTCAACACCTGGGAGCAAATTTTGTTTGCCCCAGAATCTGTTTTTTTTTTAATTTTTTTTTTTTTGAGACAGAGCCTCAAGCTGTTGCCGAGTAGAGTGCTGTGGCATCATGGCTCACAGCAACCTCCAACTCCTGGGCTGAAGCCATTCTCCTGCCTCCTCCTCCCAAGTAGCTGGGACCATAGGCATCCGCCACAACACCTGGCTATTTTTTGGTTGCAGCCATCATTGTTGTTTGGCAGGCCAGGGCTGGATTCGAGCCTGCCAGCCCAGGTGTATGTGGCTGGCGCTGTAGCCACTTCAGCCACTGGTGCTGTGGCCCCAGAATCTGGAAATGAGTTTTCCTTTGCTAGTAAAGTGAGAAAGGTGACCAAAAGAGAAATGGCAAATGCATAGGGGTGTAAGAGACTAAGATTGTGATTGAAACTTGGGGCACCCCTAATCCAATCACCATGTCAGGGTAACATGATGGGAAAGCAGAACTGAAGCAATGGATCTGTGGCTTAGATTACTTTCCTTGAAAGTGGCTGGGTTGATCTCTCATCTAAGCCATGGTCTCATCAATTTCACTAAGGTTCTGAGGATTGACACATCGCTACCTCAGCTCCTCTAAAAGGTTTGTCCAGGATGATCAGCACAAAGGCTGGAAAGCAATGTAAGGGGCTAGACTGTCCTGGAGTGGGGGGTGTCACCTAAGGAAGAGTGTCAGGTTGGCAAGCAGCAGTCTCCAGTTGGCTAGAGTTGTCCTACGGTGCAAAGCTGAGGCTAGGCCTTTGGTTGGGTCGGACTTTCCAGGATGACACTTTTTCAGAAAGGCTGGAAAAAAAAAAAAGCCTGGGTACAGTGCCTCATGCCTGTAATCCTAGCACTCTGGAAAGCCAAGGTGGGTGGTAGATTGAGCTCCTCAAGTTCGAGACCAGCTTGAGCCAGAACAAGACCCTGT